TCGTGCATCAGGCCTCTAGTAAATAATAATACAATAATAAACTGTATTTCATGTACTCACAACCGTAAACCTATTTTTGTCCCACCCTGTGTAAAATATCTATATCTACTTACCTATGTATATATATAGACCTAGGAAGATATTAATACATTAAAAATGAAAGGTAGGTTAAAAAGTCACCATTCATTGCCCTGGCCAGTGGTTAGGGCATCAGCCCCTGGACCGAAGGGCCTCAGGTTCAATTCCCACCCCCCGTCGAAGCGCATGGGAGGCAACCAGTCAATATGTCTCTCTCTCCCCTCTCCTCGGGTGAGGATTAAAAAGAAAAGGTCACCATTCATTATTTCAATAATTATAAATGTCCATTGCCATCTGTGCGCCAGGCACTGTTCTAGGGATATATTGGTGTGTAAAACAGAAAGAAGCCTTTGCCCTCATGAAGACAACATTCTTTTGGGAAGAAGAGAATAAACAAAATAAATTAGGGGTTATTTTCTAGCATAAGAAGCAGCAATTGGGTGGCTGGGATAGAGTGAGAGGAGATCTGAGGAAAACCAGAAGAGGTGAGGAAGCAGCCAGGAGAGAGCTGGGGAGAAGCCTCTGGTGGGAGAAGCAGCAGGGGCAAAGGCAGGATAAACCCAGTGTTCAAGGACACCGGCTGGAACTGGAACGGGGGTCCTGAGAGGCGAGGTGAGGAGGGTAGACAACCTGTGGCCTAACACAGGAGTAGCAGCTGGGCTTTCATTCTGGGTGTCAGGGGGCCCCCAGAGGGTTTTAAACATAAAAGTGAGATGGTCTGACTCAAGTCGTAACTGGCTCCCCGCTCTGCTGTGAGCACCGTAATGCACTGGATGGGAGTCTAATTCCCATTCTAGACTGCGCGCTGCTAGAGGGCAGGACTATCTCCTTGTACATATGAGTTTTATCGGGAATGAGAGCTTCCTAACCTGGCAGAGGGAACAGACATGCAAGTAAGTGCAGAGTCCCAAGTGTGTGCCAGTAACTTCGTAAGTGGTTATTAAACGAAAACTGAGTTAACTGGGAACATTTAGGTAACAAACTACTTAGGAGTTACAGGAACCACCAATGAAATGGCTTTCCTCGTTTAAAAATTTCAAAATATTCTGAGTGTAAGACACCTAAATTAAAATAATAAGCAAGTTGCCCAGCTGGCATGGCTCAGTGATTGAGCATCAACCTAGGAACCAGGAGGTCATGGTTTGATTCCGGTCAGGGCACATGCCCAGATTGTGGGCTCGATCCCCAGTGTGGGGCGTGCAGGAGGCAGCCGATCCATGATTCTCTCTCAGCGCTGATGTTTCTCTCTCTCTCTCCCTCTCCCTTCCTCTCTGAAATCAATAAAATACATTAAAAAGTAAGATAATAAGCAAGTTAGCATGTAGCCCCCAGTGGATGCCACACTCACCAGCCACCACGCCAGGCTGCGGCCAGCCAGGAAGAAGTCTTCTATGTTTCCGCGACTGCTTGTCAGTATCGCCTTAAACAACAGAGAGCAATGGACACAAGAAACCAACTGCTTCAGAGACACGGGCCTCTTAGCGGGTAAATCTCTTTAGTGAGACACCAAATCCACTCTCCCCTTCTTTCTTGTTAGGAATAGAAGGCCATACCCCCCGAGTTACGGGAGGGCTCATGGCGGCCTCACTGGAGACTATAGTCTCTTCCAGCTCTGACATTGCATGGGGATGTCCATATCTCTATATTCTTGTAAAAATAATATTGCTTCCCCCCCCCCCAAATAGTTGACTAGTGGCACGGTTCCCAGCAGTCTCGGAGATAATATTTGTACAAACTTGGAGTGGGAAAAACTTCCCTAAGCCAACCAGGACTTCTAGAAGATGTAAAGGAAAAGAGAGATAGTTGAGTTCTTCTAAGTGAAGTAACATTCAAATGACAAAAAGACACCATGAATGGAGCCCGGACCAGTGGCTCTCAGCCAGGGTGACTTCTGTCCCATCCCTCGAGGGGACACGTGGCAATGTCTGCAGACCTTGGTTGTGAATGGGTAGGGTCAGGGGCACTTCGAGGCATCGTGTAACATACCGGACAGACCCCCACAACCAAGAGGGATAGTGCTGAGGTTGAGAAACTGGTTTCGACAAATAACAACTTGAAAAAAACCACCTTAGCTCATGGTTTATACAACATAACAGTCACGCAAATGTGTGGACTGTCCAGCTTTTCTCTACGATTGCCGATTAGATTATTGCTGGGTAGATTTTTTTTCTTAATCGTTTTTTAAAAATATCTTTTATTGATTTTTTTACAGTGAGGAAGGGAGAGGGATAGAGAGTTAGAAACATCGATGAGAGAGAAACATCGACCAGCTGCCTCCTGCACACTCCCCACTGGGGATGTGCCCGCAACCAAGGTACAAGTTTATAAAAACAGTTAAACAACCAAGTTCAAAAATGGGCAAAATAAAGTGGCTCTTCCCAGAAGAGGAAAATCAATGAAAGACGCTCAACCTCACGAGGAGTCTTGGACACACCAGTCAGAGCTGCGGGGGGACACCACTCATCCCCATCAGACGGCAGAAAAGAAAAGAAATGGTGAGGCAGGACTGAGCAAGGCTGGCGAGGGCCGGGAAGCGGCATGCCCACAGGCTGCTGGAGAGATGGACATCTTAACAAGTTTTGTGGATCGCCACTTAATAATACAGACTAAAATTTCAAGTAAACACACTCTCTGACCCAGCGCTTCCAACTTGCGAATCCATGCTGCGCAGATTAAAAGCACTGACACATTAAAAAAGAAAAAGATTAAGAAAAAAAATCTACCCAGCAATAATCTAAGCGTCAATCGTAGAGAAAAGCTGGACAGTCCACACATTTGCGTGACTGTTATGTTGTATAAACCATGAGCTAGAGCTCTACTGTTGACCTGTAGGACTCTCTCCACCGCACAGCAAGTGACAAAAAGCAGCTGCAGGATAATGTGTAGAATCTGATCACATTTTTGGTAAAGACACAAAAACTCTATGTCTGTGCTCTCTTGTTTGCATGAGCACCGAGAAAGGGGAGGGAGGGCACAGGGCCATGGTTTCCCCAGAGAGACGGGAGTGGGTGGAGAATAGTAACTCATTCTGTGGATATGCACACATCTTCTCCCTTCCTACAATAAGTGTGCTGTGCTCTCCTAGGTAATAACAACATACGCCTTACAAAAAGAGCCAAAGGGAAGCTGATAAGGAAGGGAAAGATCAAGGCGGCTGGATGACCGTGCACATCTGACGGCTCCGATACCAGCAGAAGGAACAGCAGGCTTCCTTTCGAAGTGACCAGACGGCCGACTAGTCCTCTGACCGTGGCCAGGAAGCACGCTGGGTGGGGGCTTCTTAATTCAGTAAGAGAATCTGGGGGAAAAATCCCCGAACAAGGACTCCTCAGAGCCCCCTGCCTAGGCCACCGAGAAGGGTGTTTCTCACCACGGAAGCCAATTTTTTTAAAAAAACAACTGTTCGTTTAAATGATCTGCAAAACACCTCAGGTGTCTTTTTTACATTTGGAATAAAGGGCCTGCATTTGCTCTGCTGGTACACAATTCTCTTAATTGGATGGAAACCATGTCTCCATCACGCTGTCTGTCCACTAGCAGCATAATGGCTCATTGTAAGCCTCAAAAGAATGGCCAATGATCAGACTTTGTTTTTCGAATTTATTTATTTATTTTTATTGATTTCAGAGGAAGGGAGAGGGAGAGAGAGAGAGAGAGAAACATCCATGTTGAGAGAGAATCATGGATCGGCTGCCTCCTGCACACCCCACACTGGGGATCCAGCCCGCAACCCGGGCCTGTGCCCTGACGGGGAATTGAACTGTGACCTCCTGGTTCCTAGGTCGATGCTCAACCACTGAGCTACACGGCCGGCAAGGACCCTTTTTTGAGTGCTTACATGCTAAACTTCAGTGAGTGAATGGCACTGAGAGAGACATGGTCTCTACCTATTAAGAGAACCTTGTACCAGCAGAGAATACATTAGCTCTTTATACAAATGTGAAGAGAACACCTAAGATCCCCAATTTATATACGTGTGTGACCTTTGGGTTACACACCTGAGCCGGATCAGGCAGCTCTAGGTTCCAATCTGAACGCCATCATTTCCTGGGTGTTTTACTTAACCTCTTTGAACCTGTTTCCTCAGGCGCAGGTGTGGCGGGTGGGGGAGAGGGTGCTCCAGGCGCAGGTGTAGGGGGGT